TCGTAAGGTGTATGCGTATATATCCGCCATTATTTATGACACTCAGCATATCGGGATCCAACCTCTCGGTATGCCGACGAGCATCCACCGCAGGGGCAACGCCGTCGCATAAGAATGCAGGCGGGCTGATTAGCCGCTCCTCCCTGGGCCCGTGCTTTTAAGCGGCAGCCAGACTGCATCAATCATCGTTGGCAGTGGCGGCTGAAGGAGCGGACTACTAATGCAGCCGGCGCCGCTTCGACAGCCGTCGGCCCAGCGCGAGTCAGCGAATCCATCGACAATGTGGCGAGCACCGCGCGGCCGTCTCGTGAGCTGGTGGCGCCGGGGACGTGGTGGGCGCACAGCGGCGATCAGGCATGGTGGAGGAACCACAAACGAGCAGACATGGTGGACATACTACAGGTGATCAAACATGGTGGACACACAACAGGTGATCAGACATGGTGGAGGCCCCACAGGCGATCAGACATGGTGAAAGAACTGTGGACGATTAAACGTGACCGAGCATCAAAGGCTATTAAACGCCACAAAGGCGCCAAGGGCGAGCGGCGGGATGGGTGCACCACAGGTTGGATCGATGGGAAGGGCGGGGTGGGCACACCACGGGTGGGATGCGATGAGCGGGGTGGGCACACCACGCGCGGGATCCGATGAGCGGGATGAGTGCATCACAAGTGTAATGGGATGGGCGGGATGAGTGCACCACAGGTGGGATTGGATGGGCGGGATGAGTGCACCACAGGCGGGATGGGGTGGGCGGTTTGGGCACACCATGTGGTGATCAGGCGCCATGTATGTGTCACTCGTCAGCCTATCTTAGCAGCAACATCCTCTATTACAGAGAGCGGACACTACGGGTTAAGCCCACGGTCACGACAGCCAGTAGACGCCATGCAGACAGACATAAAACATTATCATTTCTTTCCACCTCCCGTGGACAGGATAGCAGAAATATTGCCATACGCAAAATACCTAATATCCCGAAGCTGCAGAAGGCGTTCCTACACACACATTAATACCCTTACTACCAGCTTGAATTGAGACGGCGAGGCCCGTTTGGAGGGCGGTCGTAAAGGACATGCCGCTTGAATTGAGATGGCGGGGCCTGTTTGGAGGCCCCGCCGGTCGTGAAGGACATGCCGCTTGCCGCCTGATGACCTATGGCTTCCTGTCACATCTGCATGTACGTACGATGCCAGCTGAAGCAGCCTGAGGCGCGGTCGGTCCCCACAGTTCACCGAGTAAAGCTGCGCCCTCTGGCAGCGGCTGGGTGGGACCGTTCAGCTGATACCTGGCACGGCCCTGCCGGCGACACTCACCGAGTACACTCGTCCGGCTTCCACTGGCAGAGGTGTTGGGGCAGCTGGACCTGGCACTGATTCCTCCGCCAGCGACACTGCCGGACGGGGCGGCGATCGTCAGCGGTGGCTAGCACGGAGCCCCCCCCCCCCCCCCTCCCCCCGGCTCGCTTTAGACGGCCGGCCGCAGGACGGCGGAACTGCACCCGTCATGAGCTCGACGGGTGGCGCTGATAGTCCAACGGTCGCCAAGGTCCTCTCAGCACCCACTTGGGGAGCGGGGATTGTGAGGAGTACTTATAAAAATTACTCATACCCTAACATGCTTGGATATTTTGTGGGAAAATGGAGTAGTTGAAAAACGCGCTCGACGTGTCCTCAACGTCAGTATGTTGGTGCTTTTCCGCAAGTATAGTTGACTTGAGCCACTACAGCAAAGCGACAAAAAGCGCCTTGTTTCCATGTGGACTATACATGCACGATCAATGATTCAATCACACTGCATTACGAACTTGAGCATCCTCATGCGATCACCACACATCAAAAAGGGTTAACCCGCTCTTGGATGAAGCCGCCCGCCAGTATGTCCACCACGCATCAAACGAGCCTAACCCGCTCTTGGATGGAGCCGCCCGCCAGCATGTCCACCACGCATGTTTCCTGGAGACCGCTCTGGGACGAACTTTCATACTCTCAGGCACACTTGCCACGAGGCAATCTTGTCCATTGACCTTATCAGCTTCTCCCATAAGGATTATCATCCGCGAACCACGTTTAAGTGTGTGCAGCTTTTGTGTGTAGCTGGCAATGCGACTCAATGCGACTTTTCTCTAAGTCCATAAAAATGCAACTAACAGAATATACGAAGTAAGTCACCACGATATTCCAGGCTGTTTCAGGAATTGCCGTGGAAAAGACCACTAAAGCCGGGCGATGGCTCAACTTCACGTTCTGAATGCAATAACACCAGACACGGAGAAAACTTGGGCGATGCAGCCAGCTTTGCCAGTTATTTTTGTTCCAAAGTTAGCATGCTACGGAGTTTCTAGGCAGTCCTTACCATACCAGGTGGCCTCAAATCATTCGAGTGCCTGCTGCTGGAGCTTGGGATTTCTTATTGAAATGACGCATGCATCTCACACCCACACGTCATCGAGGAGCAAAAACACGAGCCGTTTAAGTCACTGCCACCCCTGCATCAAGCGTGACTTCCTGCCGCATTCGGCGCGATACTTCCGTCGCCACCACATCAGGCGGCCTCCGTTCGGTTCCGTCGATTGATCATCGTCCGGCGGTAACGCGATGCAAACGGACCGTACCTCGGGGGGCGATGGCCGGCAACCAGTTGCATCCTGCCGCCAAGGTGCGCGGCTCTACGCTGGGATGCCTATCGCCGGCTAACGGCGCTGTGAATCTCCGCTAACCGAGTTTGGACGGCTTCGCTACCGCTTTTGCCTCGCGCCGGGCGCCGCTCGTTACTTATTACTGCCTGGGGCCGGGCGAGCGGGCTGGTCGGGTCTCGGAATGGAATCGGTGACTGGGTGACCGAGCATGGACCCGTGCGCCGGCAGCTCTCCCCAGCCGCCAGCAGAGCGAGGTGCTGACACGTGACGTGTGGACGGCTGACGTGGCGTGTCGCTCCATCGAGGACCAACCAGAGGACGCAATGGTCTGCTGCGGATGAAACGTCGAAGCAAAACAGGGGAGATGGTTCGCGAGGACGGCGGTGACCGATCGGTTTCCCCAGCGGTTATGTTCGCTACCCGCTCATTCAGCTCCCGGCCCTCAACTGTTCCAAAAATAGTTGCGTATCGATTTATATCGTCAATCCCGCAATACAACTTGGTTGAACAGATTCTGCAACAATCTTTGGCGATTTATGACTTCAAGTTTGCCAGCGAGAAGCTCAAATCGGTTCCGTGCTTTCCTGGCAACACTTCCAGAATGGGCTAATGGAGGGGAAGGCGTATGCAGGCCAACACCCAAGGGCATATATACCCAGTTCACACGTGACACGCGCGGCCACTTCATGTGGTCACCTGGTGCGGCAACAAGGGGCACTTTTAGCGCGCCAAGGCCGCATTGAAGTCGGCAGGTAACCGAACAGCACATAAATAGGTCTTTCTGATCATTGAGGCCAACCGCGGAAGCTGAAGAGACGGCCTGCGCCCAGAAACTCGACGCAACGAACGTGATCGAGCTTCCAAGATCGGTAATCTGTGGACAGCTGGTGATGGGGCGGGTGCGATTAACACCGGACGCCACTCAGACGCACAGCACCCCGATGACGCTTCGGGTGGTGCACTCGGCCGCAGCTAAGGATCGGTTCGTGTCGGCCGACAGTTTGGAGACCCCGCAGCGGCGCCGGTGTATTGATCGACCGCCGGACTGGGCCTGACAGACCCACCTGTCGTCCTGGTCACATACATAACACGGCCCCGGCCGGACCCGCCATCCGTGGCTACTTTGCGCCAGGCGGCCACCCTGCGGGGGGGGGAAGGAAGAGGCAGCAGTGCGGTGCATGGTTGCGCACAAGCACCATGCATGGCTCAGTTTGAAGTTCATTTTGAAGCCCCATGGGGCTTCAACCTAGACGAATTTAAAGCTCTTTCAAGGTGCCTGAAATCTGCTGCAGCATGGAAGTATGCTGCTGAAGCATGGAAGGAGTTTTGCATACATTTGGAGGGCCTCTGCCCCATCTGCAAAGCTTGTTTCAGCACCCTAAACATTTCTTTTAAAAATGTCCAGAAAGGCGCAAAACCAATATGCAAAAAGCGCAAGAATATCTCCGTTTTGACAATGTGATGTTTCACGAAGTGTTGAAGTGACGCATCAAGATGTTCAGTGAGGTCACCAGGGTCGACGTCGCTTTTTTCCAGCGACACCTTAATTCTACTCATTTCATGATAATCTGAAGAGCCAATCGAGTTTTCGAGAACATTCAACCCCGGAGCCTGAAAACACTTTAGTAACAACCCCAGTCTCAGCTGAGACCACTGCATGTCTTTAAGGTCGCGCACAACTTCTACGTGTGATGGCGTAACACGACGAACTCTTCCTTAAACTATTGGAAGAAGTTCGCCTTAAGCGATCCCACACGGATCGACCGTCGCGTATTGCAGCTCATGTCTTTGCAATCGCTGGTCACAGGTTAATGCGAATTTCAGCAATCTTTTTACAGCAAGAAAGAGGAACAACCATTTTTTAAGCGTCTCATTTTGTGCGGGACGTTTGTGTGCAACCTGTCAAATTACGCATATTCTTGAGATATTTCAGCTTTAAGATTCACATGCGAAATGCAAGTTGAAGTGGCCAAAACTAGTCACCACAAAGAACGAGACTCAGCTTTTTTGCTGTTCGGTGCCGTGGTCAACAGCTATCACCACAATTTCTGACCGATGACAAAAGGGGATATCACGCAGGAGTAACTGTGCGTCACCACGAGTGGAGGGATACAGATACTCAGTGTGAACCGTGGATGCACCGGTCTAGGCCTTTAGGACCATTCGGACCTTGCTAACCAGAGCACGTAGAGAATCGGACCCAGGTGCAGAACGTCAGGAAATGCACAAGAGTGTACTATGTGCAAATCAACTAGCAAGCTTGACACTGTCCAGTTCATGTAGGGGCGATAATGCACAAGAGTGTACTATGTACAAACTAACTAGCAAGCTTGACACTGTCCAGTTAATGTAGGCGCGTTAATACTCCATAGGGATGTGACTAATATCACCCTATAGAAAAAACTGGTCCGACACAAAAATCGTTGGGCCTAAGATTAGAAAGACAGGTCTATGCAAACCACACCGGCTTGCAGACTAACCATTTGCGACATTATCCGCCGAAAACGTCGGTCTTGAATACTTTCGTTCGCATTTAGTAAGGCTGCGAAACAGTGCAAACCTGACCGATTGCTTTGGTAGAAGTGGCTAGTCTTCACCGCCAGCCCCTGCCCAATATTAGTTGTGAACAAGTACCTGTATGCTGGTATGTTAACTCTTTTGCCCTCTAAGTGAAAGTGAAGGCGACCATGTTATAAGTGAAAGACGTCCTTAGCGAAGAAAAACAGCTAAATGCTCATGAAAGTGTGGATTCCAAATGAATCTGGCTCCGTTCAATAGCATTTTTTGTTGTCATCCGAATTCAACATCATAATTACATTAAGCTCCGTTATCACGTCGTTCGTCCGAAGACAAACAAGTATTGTTGCTAGTTACAACACTGCGGTCTTAGTTTCTTGATTGCGAAATAAGTGTTAGGTTTCTTGAGTTGTATTAAAAACGCAACCTCATCCCCAAAGAGGTTCGTGAATGTCGACTTTGCAAATGGCGGAGCAGTTATTTGCCCCCTGACAGAATTTATACGGTTATCGGCCAAGTATAACATAGCTCATGGGAAATGCCGGGAAACGGAATTATTCAAAGACGGCTGGATGGGGAGGCGTTCTGCCTTGAACATTACCTGGCTGACTCAGTTGCTGGCGTGCTTAAGAATGATCTCTCCCGCGAGAATCATGTGCTCAATCGTCTAAAAATGTATCCGTTCTTGTTCCGATGTCTATGAGCCTTTGCGACCTTTCCCATGCCTTTTATGCAGATGCAATACCGGAAAAGCGTTGGGTTGTAAAAAAAAACGCAAGCACCGCCGTCTGGAAGAAGTTTCCCGGACTAGTTCACGTCTAAGATAGGAGAAAGGCTTTGAAGTCAGGACCTCATTTCCGTGAACCGAGAGAGGGCGCACGCACACTTCGTTACGTATACACTTAGGGTAACACAAGGAAAGAGAGATTTCGCAAAGTTAGCATGCACCAATATAACTTATCTCTTACATCTTGCAGAGCAAAAAATCGTCGTTCCTTGTTGGAACAGTTCACATCCATTCATTCCTGTAAATGAATAGCCCCTATGCACCATACCATGCCTGTCAATAGAGAGACAGGCGAACACCCTGTCAAATGGTCTTGAAGTGTGGCATCGGAGAACATTGCAAACTTTGACATTTTATTTTAGTTTTTCTTTTCTTATCCCGATAAATTTTGATGAGCTTCTCCTCTGCTTGGCAATACTTCCAAACAACTTTCCTTTAATCACACGATACGCCACAACGTTGTCTGGCTAACATATTGCAGAGAACTTCCAACTATATGTTCCGACGGAAACGTCGCCCGAATTTATTTAGAAATGCTGCCAATGCCGGGAAATTGTTGAAAGCTCTCAGACACGTGGACAGAAACTGGCAAGTCCATTTCAGACGCAGTTTTTCAAAGCAATCTTCTCTGACAAACAAACAAAAAAACGAGGGCTAGATACGAATGAAAAGATCTGAAGAAATACAAAAGCTGCAGAGAAGAAGCCGGCCCCGTGGCATTGACGGCTCGCTTTGATTGTTTGGTCGTAGCTATAAGCTATAACACAGTACTGTCACGACGCCCACGTATTTTGGCTCTCACGATCATTGCCTTTGCTGTATCTGAGCATAGCTTCATATGCACGTGAAGGTTTAATGGTAGGAGAATAATACTGCGCGGAAAGAAAGAAAACAAAGCGATAGAAATTATGTGTTAATGTACACTAAGTGTCGTGATGTTTATGCACAATGCTATATTAAGTTAGAGTGTAAGACGACATGTGCATCACAAAACA